TGAAACTATATGAAAACGCCAGCTAAGCAGCCATGTTTATCCCATTTAAACATTTGGTCAAAGAAGTCTTTGTTCCTCTGGCTCAGGTCTGTGCCCTGTCAGTATGGGGAGCTGTGAAGATCCTTTTAGACATGTAAAAAAAAAATCCACTCCTACAGTGTTGCAAAAATGACGTGAAATCAAGCCAGGCTTTCTTTTATAAGCAAGCCAATATAACTCATATTTTAAAACAATTGAATAATGGTATAAAATAAAGAAGCATATCAAGGTTCAAAATATTTAATTCCGTTAAAGATAATTTCATTGCGCCGTGACATCCTGTGTTTCAACTGTGTAAAGAACAATAGGCCATAATGATTTACAGGGAGGTAAATTCCTCTGAGGGCTTCTGGTTACAACCTCATTTATGAAAATGAAGTTATTCACCAGAAACCCTTGATAGATTATTTCCATGAAACTCCCTCTAGTTCACTTATTGCTGAGAACCTTGAAATATTATCATAATAGTTCAGCTGTGTTGAAACGATTGAATGTTCTGAAGTAGTTAAGACGAAATGAAGTTGTTTCAATCGCTGAATCACTTTCAGCATTCACTTGCAGAAAGGAAAATTGTTTGATGTGCTAAAATTAAAAAGTGGGCAAGCTTATTCCAAACTGTTTTGGGGTTTATAGCATTTAACTTAATTTTAAGCATTTTGGATAAAAAGTCTCTATCCAGCCAGATTTGAATTTCGGGAATGTTCTTCCTTTAATTGCCTCCCCCTCATCATAGCGTTCCTCAGAGCGGCTTCTCAAGCTGTCCTGCAAGCTGCCTCACCTTTTGATATAGGTGAGGCATCTTCTGTAAGCAAGTCTCAGTGTTTTATGTTTCAGTCACATTTTTAGTTTCCCTGGTGTATGTGGTGCCTCTGTTAGCTTTCTCCTTAGTTACATTCAGTTTTGTTCTTTCCACTGAGCTACAAGCAACCCACTTTAAAATTGCATTCTGATAAAGCCCTATGGATTTTAAAGGTCACATTCTTTTCTCGGATGAATACATCATTCCCATTGATTCACCTGCTGTTTCTGCAAACTCAGAGTATTACTGATGACATTAATTATGTTAATATTCAAAGGGTTCTTAGCATGAGCTCAAGCTTTTCTAACATGCTAATTTTTGAGATCCATTTAAAATTCAGGGAAGATGGGGAGGAGTTGAGTGTTATCGCATTGGAAAAGAGAAAATAATTTTCTTTGTGAAATGCATGCTTCTGAGATGGTCCTGCAAGCAATGATGAGTTTTTCTAAGTTATTGATTGTTTTACTACCCAGGATGTAAAGCAATCTCCAGATGTGATTGCATGTTGTTTTTCTTGCTGAGGCATTGGTATAAAGGAATTCTGTCAAACCTATTCAGAGAAGCCAAAGAAAAGCCTAAAAAACATAGGCAGCAGAAAGCAGCATAAAACCACTACATCGCCTCAGCTTGCTTTTATTTTGGCACTGTTATCTGGTTCTAGGAACCATTTTAACATCTGTTTCTGAAGGAAACAAAACACATTTCTAATAGTAGCAAACAAAGCAGTTCCACAGATCTGTCATAGAAAACAGCTTGCTCCCTCTGACAGGAGAACCTGCCCCATAAGCTGGCGATTTGTGTGTGTAGATTTTATTTGGAGTTTATTCCCACTTTAAACAACATTGTATTCTATGTACCACAAGTGCATTTTATTTTTTGCTCTAACTTTCATTGTTAGTCTTATGTTAAGCCTACTACAGGTGTCACCAATTCTGGTTTAAATATTAAAGATTTGCAGAGATTTCACTATGAATATTTTCAGACAGAAAATTGACAAGAGTGAAAATTAAATGCGCGCTTACTGAAAGCAAGCTCTGTGCCTTATTCTGCTACGTGATGTCACTGGTATGGTATGGAGTAGAGATGTATGTTAATAGTCCATTTTGATTAAAATAGTGAATAATAATTGCATTATTCAAGCTAAAATGTTTGAAAAGCACAGATGTTAAACTGGATAGTCTGCATAAAATGTTTATTAGCAAATGTAGGACGTGGTTTTACTGCATTTCCAAAGTATGCAGATTTAAACGGCTTCTGTATTTCTCTAATTTGATCAGCACCTCTTTGCAGCTGATCTGACTATGAATTGACCTATGCTGCATTTTTGTTGTAGACTTTTGCAGTGTGTCTCAATGTGAGCCCTGCTAAGATAATATATATTAAGAGGTTCAAGTGGGAAATACTTTCATGGTTGGAACATAGCTCATCTTCAAAACAATTATCCAAGGTGCAGAGAGTGTCTTTGTTAAATTCTTACAGGGAGAATGTGACATGTAGCAATGAATACTGTAGCTTAACAACAGCACCGACCTTACTGCATAGCAGAAATGATCTGAGGTCTACTTAATATACCATGATGTGGCAATATTAACTTCTGCCCTATCAGCATAATTTTCTATTACAGTCAAGGTAAGGTTGACATGGTATTCAGTAACATGTGTGACTGTCTTTCCAAGTACAGGCCAAGAACAGTTTAATCCAGGACTGTCTGATGTTAGATGAAAATATGTGGTGATATAAGATCCATATAGACTGCGTCTGCAAGCAAAGATGTAAGGGGGAAAGTAAAAAGGGAAGTACAAAGTATATGAATGTAGGAAATTGTGTTGATTTTTTTGCTGTGATGTGATAGCTGTTAAATATATCCCTCTGATTACAGAATTTGCTGTGAAATGACTGTTGGTTGCTGAGGACTTTTGCAGCATTTTGTCATGTGGTTCACATTAATCTGTGGATCTCCCTGGCTTCTGTTGCACAGCAATTTGTTCTGTGCATGAGACTTTAAAAGCAGGCTCTTTTACAGTGAGTACAGGAGTGTCAGCAGCGTTTTGAAGGGATAATGGGCTTCCTTCCATTTGAGGATTTAATAGAGCACCTTCCCAGTCCCCAGCACAGTAACCCATATCTTGTGCATCACTCCAGGAAAGTTGGTTTATAATAGCAGAGTTTTGCAAAATACCTGCCTCTGGAAGAGCTGTCATAGCACACTTTCTGACTAATCAAACCCAAGAGAGTGGGCTGCTGTCTGAAAGCAGAAGTTGACAGTGCTGTATCCAAAGGCTCCAGTAATGTTTGAGGAGTAGCTTCCAGTTTGCATGTTTGTTTTGGTACTTCTGTTATTAGACAGAATGGGTGGACGCTCATTCAGCTCCTTCAGATATGATTTTGCACTGAATTTCAGCCTTAGGCTAGGAGGAAAGACTCCTTTTCTCTTAACACACTGCCAACATATATACTTGTGGTTTATGAAACACCAAAGGCAGCAGCATTTCTCTTGGGTGCAAACAGAGTGAACTCAAGGGCCCGATTCAGCAGACTATCTGTGCATATGCTTAAATTTAAGCACATGATTAAAAGTTCTGTGGAGGAGGGATTTGGGAGTTGTAATAAAAAGTGAGATTAGAGATTGAAAAGATTAGAGGACGAATGGCATGAATGGAGTAGAAGCATAAGGCTGTTTGGGTGGTCTACTTCGTAATCCTGCAGCTTGATAGTTATTTTGCGTAATTTATTTTGGTCTTTACTCCTCAGACTGGATTGAAACAGTTGAGATGCAAATATTATTCTGGGAAAACATGTCTGATAAAAATATAATCCCTAAAGGTTGATCTTTACTTACCTGTAACATTCTTTAAAGTAACATGCTTGCACATGTTGTGAGTGCCTGGTTGTGTCTGCTTTTCACAACAGACAGTGTAAAATCAGGAGTGGAAGTTGGGCAGTCCAGATCAGAAGCTTTTCTGGGTCTGCAACAGAGTTGTAAGTCTGAATTGTTCAGGGCTTTCACAGCTCCACCTTCTCCACCTTCTCTCTGTCATTTGTCCCATAGGACAATTCTTACTAGCAAATAGTTGTTGAGATCCTGTTTGCACCTGCCATGTAGTGAACTGTTCTTAATGTTACATTTCATGTACAAAAAAACCAAAAAGCTGGCAAAGATGATAAAAGATCTTCCCTTCCAGGAGTGGTTATGAACATTAGGCTTGCTTTTATTATGAAAGATAAGAGTGCAGTCGTTCCTAAGGTTTTAGAATGGTGTAGACGCCAAGGAATAAAATGAAAAATAGACCATTTTAATGGAATAAATGACACCTACTGTTATTCAAGATATTCAAGAAGTGCTAAACGTTACAACATATACATAATAGTCAGGGAGATTGGGGCAGAACTTCTTTAATCCCATACTATTTCAGTTATTAATTTTGTTTGTACTCATTCTCTTCCTTCAAGATTATTCTTAATTACCAGTATGGTAACACATGGGAATCTTTTGCAATGCTAAAGCACTTAAAGATAAGTATGTATATTTTGATTTGTTTAAATGAAGTGATCTCTATGGCAGATACAAAAAAGAAAGAATTTCTGTTCTGAGATCAGAGGTATTCAAGACAACAAAACTTGGATTTAGAAATGCACAAACCATTTCTTTTCATCAGGCTACGCAAAGCAGGTCTATGAGGAAGCTAATTCATGTCATGTATATAAAGCAAGTCAAATTCCAGCTACTACAAAGCTTTTATGTAAGACTTTGCTGACCCAATAGGTGGTGGAATATAAATAGATCAACAGTACACCCTTCCTTCTGCTGTTCTACCTAATCCTTCCTTGCCTTCAGGACTGAAGAGTATTTGATCTATTGAGTCTTAAATCAGATATTGTTTCCTACGAAAAAAAAAAAAATCCAGGAGAATGGCATAAGAGTGTTCTTGTGATTTTAGAATGAGAAGCTGAATTAGGAATATACTATTGTTCTGCCTTTTTTTTTCATATATATTAACTTCACAAAGCTGTAACTGCCTGGCTCTCTACTTGCTCTCCTTAGCTACCCATGATAGGTGACTTGACATGAGCCACTTCAAAATGAGTAATTGTGTTAAACCTGTATTAATTTACTTTCTCCTTTTGAATAATATTTAAAATGCCCTCTTCATCCTGCCTGCAGGTCTCCACTGCTGCTTGGAAGATGGAGCACTTTTTATTTTTAGTAACAATATCTCTCATGCTGGGATGGAAGCATCTTAAACCAATTAAACATATTAGAAGATAACTGTGTGTGGGTTTGGTTCAAGATCTTCATTTTCTTCACTCTGTGGTATGTCCTAGATGACAGAAATGGTGTGATAAGCTTTTTTTTTTTTTTTTAAATTCCATTACAGTTAAGTTTTATAAATTATCTCAATTTTGACTTAGGAAATTTTTTCAGATGCCTGTTTCTTTTTAAACATTTATTTTTTAAAAAAGAAATAATCTCTTGAACACAAAGTGTTTTTTCCAATATAAGAGGATTGCTTAAATGCACTTTTAAGATCTGATGATTTGGTCTTCCCTTTTAATAATGTTTCATTACTGGGAAAAAACTTGTGAACTAGCTAGAGTATTCTGATCCCTTAAAATATGTCTGGATTCACATATTTTGACTCTGTGTGTACACTCTGATTAACAGATTGATTTCACTTTTTTACTTGCAGAAGCTGGAAAAGCATGTCCTGAACCTGCACATGCATCTGTCTAGGCCAGAAAGCCTTTGGCTACACTGACACTAAACCTTTATTCATTTGATATGGGATTTACATAGGTTAGCAATGTCCAGATTGTTTAAATACAAGATACTTTCTAGGAACTGTGGCTTGCATTGTTGACCTGCATGCTCTCATCATCAGGGATATAGTCTTGAGCTTTTTATTTATTCTTCATCTTTAATTTGATAGTCAGAACACAAAGCACAGGGCAAGCTGTCCTGCGTGGATTTACTCTTACAGTGGAACATCAATACAGAATAAAGTCTGATAGTACTTTCTAGATGTCTAACACCCCGGATGTTAACATATCTAGCATTGTTCAGCGTGGCAATGTAACTTGTATCATCTTCTCAGACTGGGTTGAGAGATAAATCCTTATAAGGAGAAGTGGCAGAGATCAGTAATCTACAGTAGTGTTTTCTCTCACCAGAAATAATAGGTCACTATCACTCTAAAACTGTGAATTTCAAGTAAGGATAATAATTAATCTGTGATGCTACCTATACTCTTTGAAGGGCACTCCTAATATAATACTTTTGAAAATAGTAAGCGTGATTTCAGAGTACTCCAAAAATTGATAAGGGAAGAGGGACAGGAAGGTAAGGCAAGGCAGGGCGTGGGAAAGAAAAAGGAAGATAGTCCATTAGTTTGAGTATTGGTGTAGCACCTGGGAGGCTGGATCAGTTCCTGTGCAGTGCAGCGTTTGCTGTTTGGGTTAGTGTTTCATTTTCAGTTCAGAGGAACTTGTCTACTGCTGAGTCTGGCACTACACAGCCTATGGCCAGACCTGTGAGCTCATAACTCCCACTGATATTGATAGTGAACAAATAGCAAGTAAATGCTTCTGAAGGGGATAATTTTTTAAAGGTAATACAGGTTTTTGATAATGAAGTGCCCAATCTACTGTATTACTGTACAGCTAATTGTCAACAGTGTTTGCATCACAGGATGTTGTGAAGATAAATGAATTTGTCAGTGAGATGCCTAGATTGTCTCATTTGCTATTTTCCCCTCATACATGGCATTTGATAAGATTCCACACTGCTTTCTGTGCAATCACCCTGGCTAGTTTGTGTGTTTGTCTGTGGGAGAATGTATCAAAAAATGGTGGATTTTTTTGGACATTTTAAATTATGGTTGGGGCGGTTCCATCCTGCAAGTTGTGTTGGCTGGGGACTTTGAGTTTTTCAGCCAGCACTACGTGAAGTGCCCAGCCTTGCTGCAGGATCTTCTTGCCATGCTGCTGTTCATTTCCTCTCACTGACTTGCCTGCCTTCAGCCTCCGTCTCGGTTTGCTAGCTGGGAAGAGATCTCCACTTTCCTGCTTTCTGCCAGGATATGGAGGTGACATATGGGGCCCTCCAAGGATGATGCTTTCTGTCTTTTCTCCCTTTCCCTTTTGCTTTAATCCCAGTTCTAGAAGGACATGAGCAGGATGCCCTATGCTCCCTCTTCACATGCTCCAAGTTATTGCTAAGTTTTGGAAGCTGTAAGGCCATGCCTCTATAAACGGGCCCCGTGCACACATTCCCACCTCTCTCCTCCCTCTTGCCCTTTCAGTGGGACATGCAGTCTGGCCAGCCTTCAGGAAAGGAAAGGTTCCTCACATCTGTGCTGATGCAGCCACCTTCCTTTCCCTCCTCCACACAATTTTAAAACAAATGTTACCCTGTGATGCAAAATTTGCTAAAGCATCTGTTTCTTCCCTGGAGCTTTGGAAAAAATTTTATCAATGTGACAAGTTTGTGTGAGTCTGCCTGGAAACTGTGTATGTTAGAGGATGAGTTCAATATGCATACCTCTGACAGCTCCTATTTATACCTGTGTCAAGGTCCATATTGTTCCTCTTCTATTTCTCTACCTCCCCAGTCAGTTCCTTGAGCAGTTGGTCTCTCGCCTTCTCCCAGATAGTTTCCAGTCTCTTGTCTAGGAAGTACTGAGTACGAAGGGTGCACTGCCATAAACCACCAAAAGGAAGCACCTGGAAAGGCACTGGTTTGCGTGGCCTTATCTCACAGATCCTGTTCTATTCAGGCTGCTTGCGTTTACACTGGTGACTCCTTGGAGCCACCCCGATGAGCTGTGGAGCAGGAGGCTGCTGCGGGGCCTCGGGCTTACTGACGGCTGTATCCCTGTTGAAAATGGCATCGGGGAGGTGTACAGGCTCCTTGTGCTGATGTGTCAATGTCTGAGTTATGTTGTAGGAGAGGTTTTTCAAAGGTGTGCTTAAGATTATTATTAAACGTCCCATTGAAAATAGGAGTATTTCATACTTGCCTATAACTTTAATGACTAATCACAGATCAGGGGTTTTTGAAAGCTGGCACAGCCTCACTTGCTGAGAGTGAAAAGAGAGGATCTCTCTTTGCTTAGCACTCAGCAGCTGAAGAATTCGTATGAGTGGCAGTTACCAGGTCAACAGCAATAGAACAACCTTTGATATTAATATTTTGTAAACTAGGAAAACAAGCTGAAATAGGTATTATTATTTTTCTAGTATTATATAGGAAGCACGTCTTTTTCTAGCATTTTTCAAATTCTCAGAAACAGCAATTGTTTGTGTAGAATTATCTGTTTTTGTTAGCAATGTTCTTGCTTCTCTGCAGCACAGTGACATTGCCTTTATCCTTTAGAAGCAACGGAAAATGATAAATGAGATTAACAAGCTTCAGTCTAAAGTGAAAACTAAATCTGTGACTATACAACTCTTGTTGCATTCATTCTGGTCAAGGGTTGGTTTGTTCATTTATTTTCTGGGAAAAAGAGTCTCTTTTCCTTAGCCTCCTGAGAATCAGAGAACATGATTGAAACTCAGCTGGAGTAGCCTATTTCAGGGCTTAGCAATGAATACTAGGCACAGCATTTAGGGGTGTAAATAGCTTGGTTTCCTTAATTGCCTCCCAATCAGAAATTGGATGAACCTTCGGGATGCAGAAACAGGGAAAATCCTCTGGCAAGGAACAGAAGATCTGTCTGTACCTGGAGTGGAGCATGAAGGTACCGTGTGGCCCTCTTGTGCATTTCGGGGCTGGGTGGTTCTGCATGTCTGGGTCACCAGAGTTGCAAGCATATCCCTGCTTTGAAGGACGGATGTCCTGGATGTGACTTCACACCTTCAGAGCCTTCCACCACAATAACCTGGGGACGTGTGGAGAAGGGTGGGAGTGGGTCAGTGGCTGGCAAAGGGGATAAGTTAAACAATGCTAAGCAGGGAGCTCAGCTTGGTTAAGGAATGAGTGGCCAACCTTTGCTAGATTGAGTGTTGGTTCCAAAATGAAAAGTATAAAAATATATTGACTTTTCTCACTATAACAACAGGGTTTAGTCAAGGTAGAGGTCAAATGGAAAACCAGTGGGGAAGAAGCATACAGTTATTACCTTGCCTGGCCACAACTGTCCTACTATTCTCCTGCACTAGACCTCTGCTTTATAATAGTGTACACAGCACATTTGTTCCACTCTCTGGTCCCTCTACCACTGCTAGGATGCCTGTTGCCCTTCCACTTCTGTCCTTGCTGAGTAGCAGAGGACTTCACTGTCCCTTATTCTTCCCGATTTGTGACAAAGCACTATGGTAGGTAATGTCCCTTGCCAAGAGCTTTGCTTCAGCTCTGTGAAGAGTCTGACCTCACTGAATTAATTTAGAAGGCTTCTTCTATTATGTGAGTACCATAGCTGATCTCCAGTAAGTGGAGTGAACTGGATCATTTAATTATGCTGGTGACACTGATGTATTTTTGGTCAGACATCAGAGACTGAATTCTGCCTATCACTGCTAGGACTTACCTCTCCCATAAATTGGAAAATCTGTTGTGTCTGAAGGAGGCAACTAGCATATAAAGATCCTCCTCTGCCCAGAAGGATTCTGTTGCATACAGAAGATCTGTGGCAAAATGTTGTGGGTCCAGTAGTCTTCCAGCAGTATACCTGGTTTCAAAGCTAGTTTAAGGTGCAAGAGAAACAAGTTACCTTCTCCTTGTTTGGTCTCCAGTCAACATTCATCTGCTTTATGACAAGAGTTCATGAATACAACCAGTAGTAGGTTGTCTCATCTTAAGAGGGGCTTGATGCCAGGAACAGAGGTTGCAGGTCAGAGCTAGAGGAAAGCAAAGCTGTGACTCAGTGATTACTAAGAGCATTTTCCAAGCTTTGTCTCCTTGAGCCTTGCTAACCTGTACTCCCATTCTCATACAGCAAACAGTTCTGGCGATAGGCCTTAACAGTTATTTATTCGTGCCTATCATACAAGATAACTATATTAAAGAAAAACATTCCTGTACCTTCATATACAACTGTAGGAAAGCAAGTGAAATACAACTTTCAAAAGAAATGTGGTAATTCACCAGCTTAATACTTAATTTTTTAAACTGCAGGTTAGTGATGCTTTGCCTTCTTGAAATAACCGTGTGACAGGAGACCTAGAAGAAATGAGGAATCAGGCTTTAGAAAGCAGAAGAAAATCAGCCCAAAGTATTCCCAGTCTTCCCAGATTTTTTGCTGCAAATGCTTCTCCTTGGACAAATGTCTAGCCTTTGAATCCTCTTCCCTCTGTCTCGGCAGACTGTTGCACTGTCACAGTTCAATGCAAACTGCAGAAGGGTGTGCTTTGGGGCAGAGAGGACAGCTGGAGCCGTGTCTCAGGAAGGTTTGCTGTGTTGCCCCATTTCCTTCCTGTAATCTTTTTCTCACTTTGGCAAATCGTATCACCTCACCGTGTCTCAGATTTTCCTCACATATAAAACAGGAACTCTCACCTCCCTCAGAGGAGCTTAGGGAATTAATTAAAACATACTCTGGCATGAGATTAATGCCCATTGTACAAGGAATTGTTAAGACCTTATCTGGTGTGCAGTTCGGTCATCCGTCTTCTAGATGGATGACTGCAAACTGGAACAGGTGCAGAAAAGAGCTATTAGGAGAAGCCACTGAAAAGATTACGGTTGGGATGATGGTCTTCCTTAGAAGACAGGAAAAAAGCCAGTCCTGTATGCCTTAGCAAGAAAGAAGTCTGGGATGGATTATTCTCAATAAATAGGCTAGGAAAAGAGAGAGGTGTCCGAACAAAGGAGAATAATCTGACTATGAATTAAAAGAAGGTGTGGGGAAATGCAGTCTGGTACAGTCCTGCAGCAGAAACAGTGAGGGCAAACAGTCAGAATAATTGTTTTAAAAATTAGGCCGTGCGTTTCTCAAAGTCATTATGTAGTGCTTGTGTGCATGTGTGTTCTGAGGCCATTCAGAGCAAATCACAGTCTAGACACAGCAAAGAAAGAATCAAATATATAACAGAGAGAATAAAATATATTTCCTTTAAACAGGACTTCCATTTGCTTTTTAAACAGGACTTCCGTTTGATTTAACTACAGGTTTCTTTAAAAAATGAACTCTTAAGTTTCAAATCATGATACTGTATTACTACTTAAACTTACTATTACCACTTACCAAATTAAATTGGATTGCTGCCGAAGTCTTAACATTAAACCGCTGAAAGTTGAGAAAATCACTGCCTCAGCACCAGAAATCAGAATTAACCATCTAAACCAGATTTTGAGAGTATGAGCTTTTTCATGTACCCAGTCAGCACTATTCAGTGACAGTGCATTCAAAACTGGGAGGCAATCTGGGATATGCAAATCCATAAAGTGTGGTTTCTTCCAATACACAAGCAAATCTTGGAGTAAGCTGCTGAGGTTTAGCACTTGTAGAATCCCCTGTGTTGTTCCCAGTCACCACAGCCAGCTTTCATTCAGGAAAAACAAATCATCCTTTCATTGTCTAAGAAAAGATGAAGTTTGAAATACAAAATAAGTTTGGCTAAGTTAGCTTTCTTTCTTACATGTCCCAAATATTTAAGGTAGTTTTATTAAACTATATGCAAACATAATGACATGGATATTTAATTGAATTTCAGTTTCTAACTGAACGCAGTTGGACCCAAAACGACTTGCTTAGTAAATAAGAAATGTGTCATCCATCACTTTCTAATCTAATCAGAATTAAGTGTCTGACTAAATGTACGTTAGCTATATAAGTGCCTAAATAAGTGTGCAGATATGGTATATCCTCAAATTAACAAAAAGCAGTAGTAAAGTTAGGATAAAGTCCATGCTTACCTCCATTTCAGCACGCTTTAAAATGGACCTCACTGATGAGACTCAAACTTCTTTCTCTTCTATCTTTTTAATGGGAAAAAAAAAAGTATAAAAGTAAAATGAGTTTAAAATAAATAATTTTAATTAACATTTTCTGCGTGATGGTATAAATATCAGTTAAAAGCTCTTAGATGTTTAAAGACTACACAATCCTACTTTTATTAAAAGTAACCTTTTATTTTATAGTTTTACAATATTAAAACAAACATTCTCAGCAGTCTGTCTTGGGGATGAAAGAAATGTAATTATTAAATTGCAGGATAGTTTTAACAAGTCATTTTACACTTAACTGCAAAAGGTTGTTTATTCACAACAGGCTGTAGTCTGTACTTGTGTGGGTAGTAAAGGATGGTGCCATGCAGATTTCTATGCTGAAAACAAAAAAGACTGAAAATAATTAGAGAGCGTTTACATTTAAAACTCTTCCCTTACACTTTTAATTTTCTTTTTTACCTTTTTTATTTTTTTTAAACAAACCGTGGGCTGTGTACTTCGCCATGGGATAGGGTGGTAGCTTACATTCCCTAACTGTCCAGCTCCCTAGATTCGATTCTTGTCAAGGTCCTACTCCATTAAACTGTTCTACACTAGATGGATTTGCCTGGGGTTTGGTAGACGCTTCCTTTTATTAAACAGCAGCCTGCTGTCTGCTTATGGATGTTATGATACACTTTCCATTTAGGAACACTTTGGCTCATAAAGCACATGCCAGCTGTATTCCCTCCCCTCCTTTATTTCTAATAAATTTACATGAAAAATTTTCTAATACGCAGGAAGGATTATGTACAATCACACCACTGAAGTATGATGAGCTTGGAGATTTTCAGTATATTGACTCCGCCCTGTATTGTCCTGATTAGGACCTTTCAGCATATTAATCAGTGCTCCCAAACTGTCCCTTCTCTTACTCCTCCACCTCTAAAAAATGCTTTTTGAAGTATCTACCAGGTAGTTTACCACTTGCTGTT